CGCTGTGCTGGGATGGTGGAAGAGAACGGCGTGGTACATCTTGCTTTGAATTGCCCGTTGTCTCTGTGTGTAACTTCTATAAAGCCTGGGCGAAGCTATTTGCAAACTATTCTAAAGGCGGCTTATGTGAAGCTTTTGTTTATTGTGGTCAGTTCTTCTGAGCTGGCTTCTCTCTGGGAAGTTTTCTTGGTTTTGACATTGCACGAAGAATTGCAGATTTTTATTTTTTTTCTTACAAAAGCTATTGTTCAGGTAACAAAGCTGTTTAAATAACCCCTCCCCCCTGCATGTTACAGAAGACTTACTTGTGATAAAAACTTCATTAAAATTGTGTGCGTTTACTTGGAACTTGATTTATCTGTGCATGGTTGCTTAAGTGTAGTACAGTATAGGACTTTGTATTGGAGTCTGCTTTCCAGACTTTTTCCACTTGTGGAATGTCCTGATGCTTACCTGAGATATTGGCCTTTATATATAAAACTATGAAAAAAGTTTATTTAGTTTTATTTTTTGTCAACTCACTGCAAATAGTTGCCCATGGGCCTGCACCCAGCGGACTGAAAAATGGGTATTGTAGATGGTGGTTAAAACGTACCAGCTGGAGGATGTGAGATCTCGGATTGCTCAGGAAAGTGACTATCTTCACACTGATCTGGAGCAGAATCTGAATGTACTGTGGTGCTTAGCAGCTGATAAGAAAATAATACATTCGTGAAAAATAGTCAACAGCATTGCTTTCTATGAGCGATAATTTAAGGATAACTTTTATTATTTAAAGACATGATGACAGATTATTTTTAAAAGTCGTGTTTGGAGGCTAGTTTTGAAGGAGTAAGTTTTCCTGATAATGGAGGAAAAAAAGTTTTAAGCTGGTGCTGGAGTCCTTGGGAAACATCTGAATAATGTATTTTGCATTTCATTTTAGCACTCCCTCTCTTCCATGTAAGGTAGACTTTTTAGAATTTATCTTTTTTTTTTAATTATGTACCTCTTTTTGGTTTGTTACTGAAGACCAGAACCATTCCAGGTGTGGAAATGGAAGGGGAATGGAAAATGAGGATTGAAGTTAACCTCAAATACTTGATTAAGAGTAGAGGAAGGAGTTGTTCCGCAGCCTTGGACTAGCCTGAAAGAAAGCTTGTCATGTACAGCATGCCCTGTGCTCTCCGGCAGCTTCATTCCCATTTCATTTCTCTCTTTGTGTGTTCTTGATATCTGCTTCTGCTTTAAAATTCCTTTTTCTGTCTTCTTGTTAACTTAGTCTCCTTGCCTGTTCTCACAAGCTAGTTTCAAAACCATGCTATTTCTTTCTAGTATTTTTCCTTCAGAAGATTCACATTCTTCCACTTCTCTCTCCTCATTGTCTGCTTGCTCTTAGCAAAGTTGTCTCTGGCAAAGGGAAACAGGAGGAGGTCTTCCAAAGACACAAGTTTGCTCTTGGTTCCAAGCAGCCCTGTAGTGAAGGATGTGAAGTGATTGTCTGGCAGATCAGGAGGAGTAACCAAGGTGACAATGCAGCTTGATCTAGCTGGTATTCTAATGTCGGTGCAGCACCAGGTGGAGATTAGTACTGCAGTGGGAGTTGAAGGCCTGGCAGGAGAGGTTGCAACAGGAAGTATCTGGGGGTGAAACGTCAGGTAGAGTGCCTGGTTATGTTCCTTAAAGGAGACGGTCTGTGAAGGCAGCTGAAAAGGAACAGGCAGTTTCAGGATAACTGTGGTGGAAGAGGTTCTGGATAATACACCTGCCATTTACCAGTTCATGTTGTCTGGGGCTTCTAGACTTTGAGCATCCCTCTGGCACACACCCCTCAGTCCTTTGTCTGCCTTATCCTGTGAGTAGTCAACACTGCCATTTCGGGTGAATTGCAAAACTGGAGGCACATTGCAAATCCATGTTGTTAAAATGCCATGCTACATAAACTTTATTGGACAAAACAGGAGAATCATTGTCTGCTGGTGGCTACTTTGTCTTATGTAGAAGTGTGTATTTTGGTAAGGACTATAATGAGGTGTAATAACAATACACTGGTGAAGCAGTGAAGCAATTTCAAGCGTTCAGGCACATGTATGCCAAAACTGTCAGGTGTGTTATAATTGTCATGGTATTTCTAATAGTCTTCCAATGCAGTTACTATGAGCTCTCCTTGTCTTCTCTTCAGTCCCTTCTCCCTGCCACAGCTTGTGGACTATTTGCTTGATTCCAGTGGTGCAGAGGAACGGATTGAAAACAAGTAAAGGAAGCCAGATTCTTTAAAAGGGGAAGGAGATGTTTCATGGCTTAAGTACTGTCTGGGAAAACTGGATTCTTGTTAATCTCCTTTGTGATACTAGATGCGTTACTTCAACTAGACCTGTTGTAGGAAAGTGCTAATTGTCTATCCTGTATTTGCTGGGTACTTGCTGTAGTGGATCTTGAGTTAAAAGAATCCTGAGTGTTTACAAGTGCAGTCAAGGGAAACTAATGCTAAATACCCCGTAAGTAGATGTCTTAATATCTTGTCATTTGATTGTGCTCTGAGAAAGGTAAATCAGGATATCTTCTGTAGTGAATCGGGCTGAGATTCATGAGAAGTGTAGTAGATGCTGTGTTGTGGGGTGTAGGGCTTTCCTGTGGACAAAGTTCGGACTTTTCGCCATTGTAGGTACCCTCACTAATTGTCTTTCCCTTTCTTTGGAAACAGTGTTTTGCTCTTGATCTTTAATGATGATCTTCTGCCAGCACTTAGGGAACAGAGACCCTCAGTTCTTCTAAGTCATAGTCTGAGAATTCTGCAAAATGGAGAGAGTGGGTTCTCTTTCACTTGCACGAAGAAATTGCATTAGGAGTGTATCGGACAAGGAGGAAGTGTGGGGGGGGAGATGCGGAGAGAAATACAGATGGAAATTCACTGATTTAACCAGTTCTTCCCTTTCCTCCCTTCCTTTTAACTTACAGATATCCTTGATTTGCAGAAGGCATCTCAAAATGCTGCGTGGAGCTGCTCGGAGCCCCCTTGCCCGTTCCCCTGGGTGGTGCTCTGTGCTGTCGCCATCGCCACGCGCCGTCACCGCCGCTGCCCGATCACGTACGTATGGGGGAAAGACGTTTCTAATGGTGTCGTCAGGGAGTGTCTGGGCATGCCTGTGCTCCTTCCTAGCTTGAAGGTGAAATCACCTCATTAACATAGTTTAAAACTTACAGCCTCTGAAATGAGCTGTAGTTGGAGCTCTACTTTCTTAATGTTACTTTCTCCCTTAATTCTGCTAATATTCAGCTGGATGTCTGAGAGTGTGTGTTTTCCATTCTGATGTCCATTTCAAGTAGAAAAATCAGTTGTGTAAGTACTGCTGCTGTAAAAGTTCTTTATTTCAGCCTCATACATTACTGGAAAACAAGATCCTATTATGCCTGCTCCTCTATCTGCATTTTTCAGCCCACAAGATGTCTTGAGTAAAGCAAGGTGTGGTGTCCAAATTTGTTCAGATTAAAGTGGAAAGATGCTTTCTGAGAACCTGAGTGTCAATGCTTAGGTGCCCACTAAATAGTTGTTCATTGAAAACCTAACCTGAGAGAAGCAGTCTATTTGATTAGTGGTCTCCCATAGAGAAGCAAGGATAGACTCTGTTAGATCAAGAGTTGAACTGTTTACTGTTTCATGCAAGATTCATTTCCCATTCGTCTGTGTGTTAACAGTTCTCTTTTTGTTGATATTTATATGAATTAATAAATGTTGAAATCTTAATTATACAAAACATTTTTTTTTTCTGATTACAGCTCTGTTGACTTTTGCATTTGTAGTATTTCTAAGTATTCTGTGTTTTCCAAAGTCAGGAAACTACTTGGTTAACACTGTGAAAATTATTCCCAGATATTGACAGTAGTCAGCATCCCATATTGGGGCAACTCTGGTTACTTCATCAGTTGCATTCTAAAGCTGAATTGAGCATTTATCACAGTTTTCTTTTGTTCTCCACTGTTTCTGTTGTGATCCTGTTCAGCTTATGTATATTATGAAATTTGGCTTCTTTACTCCTCAGAAGCAAGCCTCATGCAGGCTTCATAAAAGAATATGCAGTGCCAGATACTTAGGTCTTTTTCTTGTGTTTTCCCTTCTTTATTAAAGAAGTGAAACTGTTGACAAGGTACTGGATGTAAAACCTGGAATGCCTAAATACCTATTTGTCCAAAAAGTTGACCAGATGGCTATATCACTTTCTCCCCAATTGCATGTGAAGCAAGTTAGTGGGTTTTCATCACCAGAAATGTTTTGTGTATGTAACATGGGAGCTGATTTCACTTTTCAGCCCAGTCTAAAAAAACTAAGAAGGATAGGTTTATGCAGCCGTAGAGCAAGGTTAGCAATTAGAACTTCAGTGGAGGTAAGTAACTCCCAGAACCATTGTCTTTTTTTCCTTGTTTTTCTGGAAAAAAAAAAGGTGGTTTCTTTTCAGATATTGGTTGTCCCTCAACAACTACTTTCTTGGAACCTTCTAAACCCTGAAGGATCTAGCCGAGCAAATTGGAAAGAAATTCACTTTAGTCCTTTCTGGTTGTGTGGTGTGGGATAGGCAGTTACTATATACTATGTGATGCTGGAAAGCACAGTTAAATTTGACTCCTTCACCTATTCTTTAATATGTATTGTGGGCCTTACATTCACAAGTATTCCCTCATGAAAATGAGGGGCAAATGAAACCCATCTCCAGATTCCATTTTTACTTTTGTATGTGTGATGCTAGTAACCATTTTTTTTTCTGTAATTATGTCAGAAGTGTTCTCCTGGGGTTTTTTTTTTTGCTGTGCTGGTATTTTTGAGACTGTCTAAAAGTTGACCTCATTTAATGTCTTTTCTGCATAGTTGTACAAGAAGAATTAGGTTAAGGAAATATTGTTTCAGTTTTTTTTTCAAGTAGTATTGCTTATCCATATTATTTTATCCAGCTGGCACACTTGGACCGGGGGTGTTCTTATCTGCCATCAGACACAATTTACTGTGGCTCTGCAAAATTTCATATGAAGTATGTTTGGGTCCACTTCTTTTTCAGTTAGAAAGGTTCCAGACTGTTCCTAGTGATAGTACCTTAATACTCAGTATTCTCTTTAGTTTAATGTGCTGGTAGTCTTTTGCATGCACTTTGAAAACAAATCCTGAGAAATGTTCCCTAGCTCATTGACTTGGGTGAGGTGCCAGCCTTATGTATCCTGCATCTTACCCAAGTAATGCTGTATCTGTCTCTTCTCCCTCCAATGTCTATTTATCCTGTAGGAAGGTGACTTCAAGTTCACATGTCTATCCCCCCCTCCTTATAGTGACCCTGGCTGAGCAATGCACAAGAATACCTGACTTAGAGATGTTGTAAAAGCTGTGTTTCTTAACAGTAAAGCTTTCTGCCCTGCTACGGACAGAAAAACTCTCTAGCTGTGTCTCACAAGTCAAGGCAAAGGACATTGTTCTCAAAACTAGTGCTTTCACTTCTGATGTGAGCTGTGAGGGATTTTTTACAGCGTCCTTCAGTGGTCTTCTAGGTTGCCAGAATCAAAGCTCTATTGACACATGGGGTAATGCCTTATATCCCTTGGGGGTGGTTAGTGCCACTCAGATGTTACTGATTCTCACTTCGTTTTGGTGACATGAAAGCTAGCTTCTCATTCCAGCCACTGAGAAGTGTGCATTGTCTTTAGCCTTGGAAAGGGAGGAAATGTTACATGACTTCAGGGGCTTAAAGTCTGAATGAAAACCTTCAAACTTCATTTTATTTTTTTCTCTTACTTTCTTCAACCACAGATCTCCCTCGCCAAAGATTAGGCAAGGGCCCCGCCCGCGGCTGGAGCAACATCCCGTTCCTCACGGTGCCGCTGAGCCGCGCGCACGGCCAGTCCTTCGCCCACCGCGGCGAGCTGCGGCACGCCAAGCGCATCGTGGTGAAGCTGGGTAGTGCTGTTGTGACTCGAGGGGATGAGTGTGGCTTGGCCCTTGGGAGGCTGGCATCTATTGTAGAGCAGGTAATTCTGTGACTGAAGTGGAAGGTCTGTTCTAACTTCAGATACCCGGTGACTGCTGGATGGCACAGAAGATTGTTGGAAAAACTTAGAAAACATCGGTGACCCTTTAAAGCAGTGAATTGGCCTTTCCCTTTTTCGTCCCCCTGTACTGTAGTTACATAAACCCTGTAACTCAGGAAATTACTGTTTGAAAGTGTGGTGGGTTGACCCCCACCAACAGCTAAACACTCATACAGATGCTTGTTCACTCCTCACACCTCTGCCCCACCACCGGTCAGATTGGGAAGAAACGAGAAAAAGCAAAAGTAAGAAAACTCATAGGTTGAAATGAACACAATTTAAGAAGTGAGGGAAAGGGGAAAAGAAACAAGTGATGCTGACGCAGTCCCTCACTGCCTCGCACAAGCAGACCGATGCCCAGCTAGTGCCCAAGTGATAGCCTCCTTGGAAGACAACCCCCTGCCATTTCCTGTTCTGCTACCCTGGTTTTATTATTGAGCATGATGTTAGATGGTATAGGATGTCCTTTTGGCCAGTTCGTGTCAGCTGTCTCAAATGTGTCCCCTCCAAACTTCTTGAGCACTTAGAGATTTCTTCCAGGAGGAAGCCTGAAACCTCATTGCTTGATGGGATCAGCTCATGGATTGGTTCTCCAAAATAAAGTTATGACTTTGACAGGGATTGGAGATGTCTTCTCTGGGCAGAAAAGTTAATAAGTTCATGTAAGACATTTACCTTTAGAGCTTTGAAAAGAATCTGGTCAGATGCATGTGAGGAAGAACTAATTCTTAAGAGCTATACTATCAGAGTTAGCTTCTTCACCTACAGAATTCAAAGTTACTAGATAATGCAGCTTTGGAAATTGCAGGTGAATAAGAAGGTTGGTGGAAGGTCCAGCTGCTATTTTACATCCTTTTCATATCTTATCTTTCCTTACCTGTAGCAATGGAGGTGGAGGGGTGAGGGATATAGAATGTTGACATGTGATATGTATTGTGAACATTTAAGCATGACTCTGTCATAAAAACTGGTATTGTGAAAAGAAAGTTTACCAGAAGCTATGGTTTGCACGCGGTCCTTTGCATAGCTCCTAAGTGGCTAGGAAGGTGTGCAGGACTATCTTAGAAGGTGGTTGCCTTGTTTTGCACATCCATGGACAAAGCAAAACACTTGTGTCAGCAGGCACGGGTGAGTGTAAGGTTGTTTATAATAGCCAGAACTGTCATGTTAGCAGTGATCATACTCAAGACCCTGTTTCTTATTTTCGATGCTTACAGGTGTCAATGCTGCAAAATCAGGGCCGAGAGATGATGATTGTCACCAGCGGCGCTGTAGCTTTTGGGAAGCAGCGGTTACGTCACGAGATATTGCTTTCTCAGAGTGTGAGGCAAGCACTTCATTCAGGCCAGAGTCAGCTAAAAGATATGGTGAGTGGCTGGCAGCACTCCTGCTTTCCCCTGAATGTTGGGTTGTCCATGCTCAGGTCCCTGCCTGACAGCTGTTCCCTATCTCTTTAGGCTATTCCAGTCTTGGAGGCCCGAGCCTGTGCAGCAGCTGGCCAGAGTGGACTAATGGCTCTGTATGAGGCCATGTTTACACAGTACAGCATCTGTGCAGCTCAGGTAAGGGATTCCTTCTTTCCTAGACTGACTTGCTAGTTCAGTCAGTGACGGAATTGTTCTTGGATTTTTTTTCATGCTTTGTGTGCTGCTGTCTTTACTGTTGTCTTGCATTTTTGTTGACGTCCTTCTTTAGGGGCTTATTATTGTAGCATAAATAGTAGCTTCTATAGGAGTGCCTTGCTAAGTATTTCTGAAATGGAGTTACCTATTGTCAAGGTGAGGCAAATGTGCTTTTTTTTTTTTTTTGGAGTTCATGTGGGCCCGGCTCTCACGTGCTGAGGCAGTATGTGGTGTGTCTGTTAAGGTCTCTTTTCAAAAGGTAAAGTTGGTGATCCAAAGTGAGGGTTTAAAAAGCACCAGTGGTTGAACTGACACACATTCTGTAAAGCTGACAAATGCATATCCACACTTCAGAACTTGCTGTCCATCTGCTCCTCAAACCTTTCTAACCTGTGGGTAATGGTATCCTGGGCCTGGGTCTCGTACGTCTGCTGCGTACTACAGTTGTATTAATGGAACTACTCTTAAACTGGCGTTTCTTATCTTAAAATACTTTGAGGATGCAGAATTTCATCAGTTGTATGGCCTTACTGGTTTAGACACTTCTAACGAATTTAGGAGCCTAGTATGAAGTCTTGCTTGGAGGAAATTCTTCCTGTAATATAGTATAGCTAATATCACTACAATGTTTACAGTAATTACTGCAGGTTGTGATGGATTATAATCTTTGTTCAAGTCTGTAGACAACTATTCATTCCTTCAATTGAAAATAATTAATTGCCCATGCCAAAGAAGTCAGTGTACAAATTGATTCCAAGTGCTATTGTAACATTTAGGTAGTGGAATGGTTTGCTTAGTTGCCAAACGTCCAATGGCAGAGTAACAATGGGAAAAAAAAAGTCTCTTCAGAGCAAACATTGAGAGTTTTTTTTTTGTCTTAAAATGCCAAAAAGCAAGGGGTAGTGTCTTCATACAGGAAGATTTAAGACCAAGATTCTTTCAGAAAAGCAAGTGATTTCTAGAGCTGAAGAGAAGTCTTGAGACAAAGCATTCCATCTGCCTACAACTGGAGGAACATTACACTGTGAGGGAAAATAGAAAAGGCAGTGTCCTGAGTAATCTGTCAAATTGTTTAGGGTTTTAGTAGTTATCATCAGCATTTATGTTGTGCTTATGTTTGTTTTTTTTTTTTTTCCAAGTTGACTCCTGTAGCCTGTGATCTGTCAGCTTGAGAAAGGCCATTATAGGCTCCAGTGGAGGTTGAGGCTTATAAACATGAAAATGTTGTGGAAAGAATATTTCTCACTTGTATTCTTTATCCTTTAAATGTGGCTTATGTTTCTTTAGTGACCTGAAGGTCATGACTGATCTGTTATGATATGTTGATACACATGTTTATAATGCTGTTCTCAGGAACAGTGGTAGGCTAAGTATGTATTAATTTCCTCCTTTTAGATTTTAGTCACCAACCTGGATTTCCATGATGAACAGAAGCGTCGGAACTTAAATGGAACGTTGCATGAACTTTTAAGAATGAATATTGTCCCAATAATTAACACTAATGATGCTGTTGTTCCACCTCCAGAGCCAAACAGTGATCTGCAGGGGGTAAATGTGGGTAAAGTATTGCAGGGGGGGTAGATCCTGCTTATAGATGGTACAGCACTAATGTGTACTTCATTAATACCATGATGGGGCAGCTCTGAAGCCTGTGGCAGCGAAACAAACACAAAAATTAGTAATGTGGACAGAAGGTGCTGGAAGACTATGCTGCCTTGTCTGATAAAGTGCTGCTGGGTGAAAGCAGGGCAGATGATGTCTGTTCTGCCAAAAGCAAGCATGAGCTTGCCCAGTTTGATTTTCACTGAATAGTCAAGGTTGGAAGAGACCTCTGCAGGTTGTCCAGTTCAGCACCCCTGCTTAAAGCAGGGTCGGTCAGTACCTCTTATCCTGTCACTGGGCACCAAGGTGGAGAGTGCAGGTACTGATCACACGGCCTGTCATTTTGTACCACTTTGCTACATTCCAAAAGCATGTGTACTTTCACACAAAGACCACCTTCCAAGTTTCCAGTAGCTGTGAACAAAGTAGCTCAGAAGGACTTGGTAGTGCTGAGGTAGCTTGCTTTTGTATGTTGCAGGCAATTATTTCCTAGATCCTCCTGCTGTTCAGTGCTGCTGACATGCATGTGCATTACAGGTGATTAGCGTGAAGGATAATGACAGTCTGGCAGCACGACTGGCTGTGGAAATGAAAACTGATCTCCTGATTGTTCTCTCAGATGTAGAAGGTTTGTGAGTCATTTCTTTAGGTTCTTGTTTTATTGAGGTACATCAGATAGTCAAACTAACCTATATTTGGGGTTTACTGACCTCTTCAGTTCATATCTTTTACGGGGACAATTACAACATACCATATAACTACTTAAGGCATATACCCAATGTTGATGCTGTTGCATAAGCCAAAGACAATCTGCCCCACTGTTGAAGGGTGGGTGAGAATGCATGTGAACGTGAGATTTTCCAGAACCCAGAACACCCAGAATATGTACGATGGTACTTCTGCTATCCTCTCAGAATTGCATGATGTTGTCATGAGTAATACACAGGATAAAGGCTATGTGTTTAGAATCAGGAGTATAAGCCAAGTACTATTCTACAGTAGTTACTTTCTTCTGGCACCATATTTTGTCTTTCATTGAATTACAGGTATGTTTCAAGTCCTAATCATTGCCTTCCAGATAACTGGAAGTCAGTAGCTTTTTTGGTTGCCTGGGCATTCGGCTTACACTACTCTAGTTTTCTGAGCTGTGCTGATGTGACATAAATCTGTCACCTGTGGATGTTGATGTTCCTTCTCTGGAGAGAGGAGGATGGTGGGTGCAGTTTCGGATCGGTACAGATCCTTTTTCTGTTCAGTTATGGGCTTGTGGATATACGCCCTGATTCTGAACATATAAAAGCTGTAAACTATCTCTGCAACCTCAACCAAACATCACTGCCTCCTAGCTTGCATGCTGCTATTCATCATGTGGGGTTTTGGTTTCTTATTCATTATGCTTTCGGTAAAGCTATGCTACTTGAGTTTGCCTGTTAAGTGTTTCGTGCTTTCAGTCCCATAAAAAGCAAAGTTCAATGAAACTTTTAAATTTTGTAAAGTGGAGTAGAGCTTTTCAGCCTCATGGATTTATAATTCTACTTTTTTCGTGGGTCAGATTTGGAGATGAGGGTATGTAACACTAACAGATTTTTATTATTTCTTTCAGGACTCTTTGACAGCCCTCCAGGTTCTGATGATGCGAAGCTCATTGACATATTCTACCCAGGAGACCAGCAGTCTGTAACATTTGGAACCAAATCCCGAGTGGGAATGGGAGGCATGGAAGCCAAGGTAGGAATACAGAACATTTGTGTGGTTTTTTTTTTTTTTTTTTGTGGTTTGTTTTTTTTTTTATTGGGAAGGAAGGGGAGATGTGGGAAAGGGAAATCGAGGAGGTGATTGTGCTGCTGCTCAGATGTGTTTTGACAGAGTGCAGAAACGGGCAGACAGGAACCTTTATGGAGTTCTTTAACAAGTAATGCTGAGTCCTACCCCTAGGAAGGAAAAACTGTTCACTGGTATGGGCTAGGTAGTTTACTGGCTGGAAAGCTGGTTCATTGAAAAGGATGTAGGGGTCCTGGTAGACACTAAGTGGAATGTGAGCCTGCAATATGCCCTTTAAGCAAAACAGGCCAGCAGCATCCTGTGTTGCATTAGAAAGATTATAGCCAGCTGGTTGAGGGAAACCATTTCCCTTTAGTCAGCACTAATGACACCACATCTGTAGAGTTGTGTCTGGTTCTGGACACCACAGTATAGGAATGACATGGCACACTACAGTGATTCCAACAGAGAGCCATGCATATGATTAAAGAATGAGAGCATCTTTCACACTTGCGGAGGCTGAGAACTAGGACAATTTACCCCAGAGAAGAAAAGGTTTGTGTATAGAAGGGAGAGTGTAGAGAAGATAGAGCCAGACTCTTCTCAGTGACATCCAGGGGACAGACAAGATGCAGAGGACACAGACTGAAATACAAGAAATTAAACTGAAATGTAAGAGTTTTACTGTGAGGTTGCTGAAGCACTGGAGTGGGTTGCTCAGAGGGCTTGTGTAATCTCACTGTTTGGAGAGGTTCAGAACCTGACTGAATGGTATCTTGAGTAACTTGCTCTAGTTGACCCTGCTTTATGCAGGTGGTTTGACTGTCTTATCTCCAGAGATCCTTTCAAGCCTCAGCTATTCCATGAGTACCCTGGAACAGTTCATGCGTTCCTTTATCTTCTCTCTTAGGTCCATGTGAATTGGAAAGAGCAACTAATGAATCACATTCCAGTGGTTTGTAAAATGTGACATTCGGGGTTGTATAAATTGGTGTATTAAATTGAAACAAGAGTCAATCCTCACTTCTTTCTTATGTGATAATCCAAAATCTTTGGGGAACCCTGACAGATGAATCTAATAATGATCCCACTGTCTCCTTTCTGAGTTTTGGACATGGGCTGTTTGCTTCTGAAAGATACTTTGGATATCAGGAAGAATTTCTTTACTGAGGGAGTGGTTAGGGACTGGCATGGGCTGCCCAGGGAGGTGGTGGAGTCACCATCCCTGGAGGTGTTCAAAAAACAAGTAGACGTAGCACTTGAGGCTATGGCCTAGTAGTTAGGGAAATGTTGGGATGAAGTTTGGACTTTATGATCCTAGAGATTCTTTCCAACAATAGTGATCCTGTGATTGGTGGAAACCAAGGTACTTTAGTTCTTGAGTACAAGATCAGTAGAGGTAGGAGGACCAGTGGCTTTTAGTGCTCTCTGCAGTTGGATGCCCTCGGTATTCGTTGCTGTGAGTGCATAAACATGGGTGGACTTCAGCATAAGTCTCTCATGATGCTGGGGTATGCATTACGATAGTATTAATTGGTGTGGGTTTCCTAAGGACATTTCTGGAAGGTTATCTATAGAATGAAGTAGGCTTTGACTAAGTAGG